ATATATATATATATATATATATATATATATACATATATATGTATATGATGGGCTCAAATGTGCGTGTCATTCTCTTACCAAGCATTTTCATCTTTGAAATGGCAAAAGCAGTAATGTTGCAGTTCAGCGAGCAAGCTTCCCGACTGTGAAAAAGGCAAAAGCTAAGAAACAATTTAACCCCTCGTTTTAGATTTTTGACTCACTACTCTAGCTAGCAGTATCTGGTTCAGAATGAGTTTATTGCATAATCTGAGGAAAAACAGAGCTGAGAACTAAAAAAATTATAAGAAACTGGTTTGCTGCATAACGCAAATTAAATATCCTGGGTTCTCACAGATCAGCATGCACTGATCTTTGAGCCAGGCCCAACTGTTCTTATATTCAGTCTAAAACTTTTGTGCCTGAACGTTATTTATTTGAACCACCAGAAGTCAAGAAAATTACTGTTGACTTTTGAAAAGGGTACCGACTTTCGACTTTCTTAATCTTTTCAACAGTTGTGGGCACTGACACAGAGAAAAGCTGTACTGTTATCTTCTCTGCCAGCGAGGCTGTCATTCCTTTCTAAGATCCCTTCAGTCATTTAAGCAGCTCTTAAAAGAGGGAACCATTAAAAGCCTAAACGAATGATTGCTGTTGGCATTTATTGTCATTCGAGCTGTTTCCAATTGCTTTCGCCACACATTAAAAAAAAAATAAGAGGGTGGTTTCGGGCTTGGCGAAACGGGAACCTAAATTAATAGAAGGCACACGTACTGGCGTAACAATTTAAATTATAATCACAAATTCTCTTGCTATTTAGTTATTAAATTTTTCCTAAAATTTACACAGAATGACGCTTCAGTTGATCGGTGAGCTATTCGCATTAATCAGCAAGTTTGAAATTCAGGGACAAAAGGGTCAAGACTTTTTCGCTTATCTAAAGACTCCCCTGTTATTTTCAAAAGCGCATCAGAGCACGTATGGTGAAAAATTTAGGGACCGATATTTTTTCTCAACAGTCACCATGAGAAGAAGCCATTGCTCAATACTTCGTAGCAATTGATCGCAGCTGATAAAGTGCTGCCAACTTGATCATCCTAGGTGTTTCCCTTAAATTTCTCGAGTAACCTCCGAAAGGCTCCAAAAAGTTAACAGAGCTCTCATGAGCTGTTTACAGAATTATGATTTTTCAGTGTTTCGGTGGCAGTACTGTGTTCCAGATGCTGAAAATTCTGGCACTTGCAGTGGCTGCAAATTTCGTCAATGCGGGACCAGTTTTTTCACCAACAACTGGCAAATTTTCCAGTCTTTTATTCCTTTGCAGCGCTACTCATTTTTGCTAGTGGGCATAGCGTAATGGGAAATAGCAAAGTTTGAGTGAATAAATAGTGGTTTTTGTCTACTCTTTTGATGCCACGACAAACAACCAAATTGTCTGTCAACTCATCTGTAGTAACTGTCTAGACAACTTTTAAACGGTTAGAAGTTTATCAGAGATAACAAAGAATCAAATTTCCTAAAGACTAGTTTAAACTGATGTACAAAATACAGTACAAAGAAACTGTTTAAAAGTGTACCGCCTCTATCAAAACTTTTTTTGGCAAGAAGAAACCTGTCTATATATCAAATGAAGCACGAGCCTTTCATTGATGCGTGATATAGTTGATCAAAATTATAAATAGATGGCAATGAAAAATACTGATTTTTTTCAAAAGTGTATGCCGAAATCCTTGCAGTGATTTCAGTTATACCAAATGATACTGATAATACGAACAGCGCCGAAAATAATTCAGCGGCTACGGAGGAACCGATTCTGTACCAGTGCCTGACGCACGAGCACATTGCACCATTGATCTTGACCTTCTTGGATGAAAATGATCTACAAACTGTTACACGGTAAACTTGTACTTTTGTTTATAACTGGAACTGGCTTATAACTGGAACTGGAACTGGCTATTTATAACTGGCTTTCATTCATAACTTTTTTCTGCCGTCGCAGAAAACCCACGAGGAGTTGGCAAGAAATATAGCACCAAATGATTGGCACCAAAGAGTATGAAGCTGTGCGTATAGCAGGTAAGGTAGGAAGGAAGGGAAATCATTGGAGACAGATTGTATTTAATAAATCTTCTCGCGTAATGATCTGTCTGTTGGCAATCTTGCCTTTTGTTTTGTCTCCTGGAAGAGTTACGAGTCCAGCGGTGTATTTACCAGAATCGCCGGCATGTTTTTAGCCGTTCCAAAATCTCCTCAGTGTATTTTGAGCAACACTACTGTTTCACAATGTTGCCAATCCTGAGTCACGGTTAGACAACTTATCAGCTAAGCGATTTATATTGATAAGCACAGTAAATTTTACCTCTGCGTGTTCCTTGCCTAAGAATTCTAGTTGAAACTTGTGCAACAAAAACAAGTCAAAGTCTTCAGAAAAAGCAAGGAAATTCAGGAAGCAACCCCAGAGGAAATAAATATCCTTGCCTGGCAGGGCGGTCAATGGCTTACTGTTTCGAGGATTCGTTCAGTTAAATTTATATAACAGAGTCAAAAAGTTAAACCCCCTCCATGTTTTATCTCTATGAGAGGCAGAAACAATCAGTGGTATTCCGGTAGTAACAAGTGCCAAGAGCAACCATTCTTTATCAGTGCAGCCTACATTTGATTTCTCTAAAACACTAGATTTGCACAGGCCTGCATCTGAAAGCACAAATATCCAAACACAGCAGAGTAACTGCTCTGGATCATTGCCCTTTCGCAGTTTTTATGCGTTTTCGGTGTGCAGCGCTATAGCGCAACTACAGCGCTGCACAGCCAGCAAAAACGCATATTGCCGAGAGGCTGTCTGTGTCTGTGTGTGTGCGTGTGTGTGTGTGTATGCGGAAAGCAAGTGCATTTTGTCACACACTTTTCTTCTCAGCAACCAGGAAAGCTGGGAGGCTGAAACTTCGGATATATGTTCCTGCCCCGTGTGTCATCCGCCCGCTTCAAGATCTTTCCCCATACGGGCCTAGACACCGCGTACAGGACCCCCATATGTTGACGGGAAAGGATTTCGCGAACCAGGCAACGCAGAAGGCTGAAACTTTACAGGGATATTCTCTATGCACGTACGAGGCAAAGATTTTAAACTCAGCCCTCTAGCTCCCCAACCACAGCCTCAGGCAGCTCCTGAACCCAAAAACTGTTAGCAAATCGGACCTTAACCGCAATCGTATACGTAGATGAACGTGCATTTTTTGAGAAACGGCCGTCCGAGCAATACTTCCCCTTTTTAGTGAACTGAAAATTTGCATTTTTTCAAAAAATTTGCATTTGTCTTTTTTTCACAAAGCGAACATTTACCGAAAAAACAACTGAACTCCATGCAAAAAACCGGTAATTATGCACCTGGATTTGCACCACCTTCATCCCAACTGATGCTTTTCCTCCTGCTTGCTGGTAAGGATCAAAGCACGGCCAATATTAGCCAAATGTTGGGCTGCAGCGTAGGGATCGTTCCTGCTAATAACGATCTGCGAGTTTAGTGCAAAAACGCATGATTGCACCGGAGAGCCTGGTGCGTTCCAGCCTGGGT